TGCAAAATGTGATGGGCGACTGCTGATTTTTCAGGTCTTCCATATTTTGAGTGTGCTAAGTGTTCCTTATATCTTATTTTAATAGATCTTTTTGTCTGTCCTTAATATTTTGCATCGCAGTCCAGACTTTTCTGAATTCTCGACTTTGTCTTTTGGACTTCCTAAAAGTCTCTGTAGTGTATGACTTGTTTAAAATCCCTTTAAAAATTGAAACCCAACATTTGAAACATCAATTTGGATACTGTTCGAAGTGAATTTGAAAAACTCATGAAATAAACTCAACTTTATTTTGTTCAAACTTGCATTTGCTGTAATAAGCCAAATTGAGGAACATTCCCCATTTCAAGAAACTGGTACTGTCATGATGCATCGGGCAGTTTGCAATGAATCATACTTCATCGACTCGTCTAGCAACTACAGCAATCCCGCGAATCTGTAAGGAAAGTGCTTAAACTATGTAAATTTCATCCATATAAAATGCAAATCTTTCAAGAACTTGGTGACGAAGACACCGACAGAAGAATCGAATTTTGTGGAATTATGACAGCTAGAATTAGGTATCGCAGAACGTCAGCTCATCAAAAATATTTGCTTCAGTGACGAGTACACTTTTTATTTGAATGGACATGCAAATAAATAAAACTGTCGTTACTGGAGTGACGAGAACCCACTATTTAAAGAAGGGCATACGCAATACCACGAAAAAGTTAATATCTGGGCTGGTATATTGGGAGATGCAATTATTGGTCCATTATTTATAGAACGAAATTTTAATGGCGAAATGTATGCTTGCATGCTAGAAATATCTATCGAACCTCGGATAGTTCATGAATTAGAGAATCAAAGAGACATATACACGGCAATTTATCTTAGAAGAAAATTTATTACATTTTCAACAGGATGGAGCACCTTCTCATTATGTAGTCCCAGTAAGACAATGGTTAGATAATGGTTATACTAACTTCGTTAGATACCACAACTAAACAATTATTTTCTTTTGCCATTTCTGTTTTTGAGTTAATGAAGTTTTTTGTTATTGTCACCCTCTGCGTCACGTCACTGGGCAGCACTTCTGTGTTTTGATCAATTGCAGTGAATAGTTACAATAGAATACCCCACACTGCATAATAGAATACCATAACAAAAAGGTGACACGTGGCTGTAATATCCACTTTTTCCTAACAATCACGTGCCGAGCATCACGCTCAATTTATGGCTCTACTTACCTATTTGATAGGCCCTTATTTTTCGTTAAATGTTGCGTTCGTCATATTGTTATGTGTAGTTCGGTAAAAGTTATAAAAATTGTATTTCTATGCTAATTTTGTAGTTTCTCATATACTGAGTGTTAACGGATCTCTTAGACAAGTCGTAATTTTTGGTATTAAGTGCATCAAATTCAGATTTGGTATATGTAAACTGTATGCGAAGAGGGGTTTCACCACAAAAGACTCCAATTTCGAATATTCAACAACTTTTAGGATCGGAATGTGATATTTTTGAAAATTTATTCGCCGACTTTATTTTTTTGGCAATTTTATTATTGCATCTAGGTGGCCATAATCAAACGTAAACTAATCTAAAGGCCTCAGGCGATGTCAGAAAATAACAATCGTTTGAAAGATAGTGGAATAAGTTAGCAAAATAACTTTTTTGTTCCTAACTATTATTTTTCAAATGATGACCATGTTTTGACAAGCACGTATTTTTTTACGATCACAGATCACACAACTGATCACACGCTTTTCAACAGAACAATCCTGCTGTATATTATTATAACCTTTTTGTCCCACGTATGGGATGAATTTACGTTGATCCATATTTTTTTGGATTTTGGGTAGTATAATATTTTCATATGTTTTCAACCGCGTCTGGTAGGTGTGCACAGTTTTATTGTTCGTAAGGGTCCCAGGACAGATCCTTGTGGGATACCATAATTTATAATTTTTTGACTACTCTGTATACTGTCAACTCTCACCATTTGGCTTCGTTTACATAAGTACCTATTCAAAAGTGACGATGCTGGTCCGCGAATTCCAATACTTTCCAATTTCAACAGAAGCCTTTGATGACTTATGGTGTCAAAGGCTTTTGCTCAGTCTGTGAATACTCCATCCAGCACACGCACGACTCGAATCTAGATCATTAGTTGATCATCTTGAAGATGATCATCTTTCTCTTGAAGATGATCACTTGGTGATTGAAACACGTGTCGAGATATTAAAAATAACGGTTTGGTGTTGGGGTGAAACTCAAGTAATATTCAACCTTATTATTGGTTACTTCAGTGGTACATTCATTATCCAAACTGTAAGTACTTAGTTGATCTCAGTTCCTGTAAGCATTTTGCATTCAACTACCTTCAGGTATTCTCCTAATCAAGGAGAAGAATTAGGGATAGTCGCTCTTATGAATGTAGAAATTATTGAAAAATCAGCTTCATCATAATTTAATGAAGCCGTCTGCGAATCTTTATCGTGCATAGTACGTACGATAAAGATTCGTACGTAGGTAAATACTTCTTGGGCCTGGCGATGCCCCCCCCCCCCAGGGTAATGGTATATGTCCCTTCGGCATCCAGATGGTGTATGATACTTCCATCTACGAGCTACACATCCTCTCCGTCTCCACATCGTCCTCTTTTCAGATGGACCGTTGCATATTTGTCTATCCCGAATCTCAAATAGATAGCATGCATGCCTGACCAGATATACATTCGATTGCTGAACTTTGTGAAGAGCAGACGTGTCGTAGCGACCTAGTGTGTTTACGCAAATTTTCGTAGTGAATGTTCAGCCGTGCTGCAGTGTTTCTGGCTCGGCGTAGTTTGGTGCGTTGTGCTATTTTGAGTGAGCGAAAACGTCTCTGGTGAGTACGCTTGAATATTTCGTTTCCGATTCTCTCCTGGTGCTCATCAGCTACTGGAAGTTGTTCAATACTTATCAAGTCGTAGCAGTATGGAGGAACTGCTTGACAGCCTGATGGCCAGGGACAGGGGTGAAGTAATTACCCTTATGGGTTTATTACTTGACCGCCTGGCCCTGAGTCCAGCAGAGCTGTTAAGAGGCAGCCCTGGGGCGGTAGCCCGGACGCCCTCTGTCCCCCCACCAGGGGTCAGAGAGCTTCTCGAGCGCCCGCCACAGAACACCTAGCTGTAGATTACACTATAGACGACCCCACTCGATTCAGAAGGCCCCGTCGCTCAGTTGAGTGAAGGCCCCACGACGTCTGTTAAAATGAACAGTTTGTTCATCAATACCCCAGTCAGGAAGGGGTACACAAGGCCAGAGCGGCATAGATGTCACTGACCTCTATGTCGCTAGCAAAGCAACACCTTGAGATTTGAACCACTCGCCCCCATGGCGAAAGACAGTTTAGAGGGTACGGGAAGAGATTTTCAACCTGGTCAAAGTCAAGACGAATCATTCTGACCAGATATTATGGTAAAGCGAGTCTGTCAGAGTGGTATCAGTTATTCAAGGCATCTCACATTTTTTCCGGTATCGCAAGGTATCTGAGCAAATGCAAGGAGAGCTCATGCAAAGTTGTATCAAATGCCTTGCGGTAATCGATCCAGGTCACAAAGAGGTTACGCTTATACTGTATCGAGTTCTGCGTTACACATCTGTCGATGTGTAACGACGGTCCGCCCCGATATTATCATTTACTGAAGGTTAAGCTGATCGGGCAATTCATCGACTTATCTTTGTGTTGCCGCAGCAGTGAAGTGATCTCAACGGCTTTTATGCGGACCTTTTGCAGAACGGGTTATCATTATTGATGGTTTTATTATCATTATTAATATTTTCCGCGAAGGTTAGGCTAATCGGGTCCTGTCCCTGAAGCCCAGCCACACTCGGAAGGGCGCGCCACCGTCTCAAAAGATAGTTACAATGATTTTTCTACTAATAACGGTGACATCTTGTATCGGATATGTGAATCCAAAAACGTATTTAATGTTCCACAGTGAACTACTACTCGTAACCACTAGATGCCAACACGAACCAACTTCTCTGTGTATCTAGAGATCTAGACTAACCGTATCATTATCTAATTATATTTAGGCAGTGTTTGTATCTTTTTGGGAATGTGTGACATCTAGGTTTCATGAGTCGAATCTCAAACTCAGGGAAAATATTGACGACTACTCCCTTGAATAAATGTAGTTACAAAAATTGCAATAATAATTTCCTACATGCCGAAAAACGTCACTTTTTTGAAAAGATCAGTAAAGTTTTAATCATTTTGTTCGGTGGACAAGTGCAAAAAACTTATAGTATTTAAAAACATTATTTGTAAACCAACATAAGTCAAACTATTTCTTTGTTTTGGCTCACTTTCACGATGACCCTAGTGCTACAGTGCGACAACGAACTGCTCTAAAGAATACTAGCTAGGCGAGTTCTTAAGTTTACCAATGAGCTCATCAATCCACCAAAACCAGTTTTTTATTGTAACAGTGATAACAGTTATCATCCGAAGACGATTGTGGATAATAACAATCGATAACTTGGTTTAGAATCTTTTATTTTTTATATTTCATTTTTTGTTAATACTAGTTTTAATTTTCAGCTTTTATTAATATTTCAATTTTTTATTCTGGTTGTAGCTTGTATGTTATTTCCTTGTAATTTCAGTTTTTTGTTTAATAAAATTGTTATTTTCGGTTATTCTTTTTATTTTTTTTCAGGGATTTCAAATCAATTTATATTATATTAGACAATGGAAGTCCGAACTGACGAAATACAGTGAAATATTGTATCTCAATGCACGTTGTACGCCTATAATCAATTGAAAGTGTGCTCTACGATACACATATGTATAACTAATGACGATTCATTTTTTAATATAAAATGAACCAGTCATTGAAATCATTGAAAAACACACTTTGATTTGAACTAGAACTATGCTTTATAAGATGGGCTCATATTTTTTAAAGCTGCGTCAGTTGCTGACAGACGCACTCTATCTTTCAAAATAACAGCTGATTTGCCTGTTCGTGAAAAATCTTGAGAATTGATTTTGGTTATGAGAAGGGGGTGTATGGCACTCAAATAAATATACAGATGAAACAAATTTCAAGTGAATGTCAATGAATTTAATGATAAATAAAACATCAAATCTTCACTTGATCTGGAACAGCACTTCCAGGTCACCATTCACCATAGTATAAATGGCTCTACACAAAGGATTTCGAGTTCTTGAGAAATCCAAACCACCAAGTCCCCACAGTATCCTTTTAGAACATAAAGGAAAAGAAAATACCTTATTATTTGAGTCGCAAGCAGTTGCTGTTTTATGTGAGTTTTTCTGTAAATTTGGTTGCTTTTATTAAATTTGCGAGTTTGTAGCTGTACAGGAGACTGAAGCAGTAAAGAAACAATATACGAAAATTTTAGAGGCTTATGGTTCCTTGGGAGTGCTTCAAATCAATGTTGGGGAAACGACTGTACTTTATTTGGTTATGATAACAGGGTGCTTTTCTGTTGGCAAAGTTGGTGATTCTGAAATATTTAGAATAACACAAACTCAGTTTATACCATTACACTACCCACAAAATGAGGATCGAATTGGTGAAGTCAGTATTCTGATTATAGTTTTGTAAATGTTTTGAAATTATTCGTTTTAATGGCTTGCGCTAGCCTTTGAAAATTTGTTTATCAAACTCACATATTTCTGTTCGCTGATCATGAATCTGAAGGTATAATATGGCACTGTCATCTACTTTCATAGAAATACAGTTACTCAAAAGTCGAAACTGTTCAATAATGAATTGTTTCGGTAGCTTAATGCTGGTATTCGAAACCTTTAATTGACACCTTCTTTTCACGATAGCTTGCTTAGGACCTCTATCCATCCATTTCGAATGTATGAAAGGTCAAGGACAAGAAATAAAAATTATTTAGCTTCAATGTAGAGAAAAGTGTTTGTTTATTTCCGCTAAAGAAATTGGGATTCCTCATTTTATAGCCATATGAATTTGACAGCGAGGCGTTCATTTCTAGTTTGATTTTTTAATACCAGCAACAGAACCAATAATAAAGTTCCTTGTAAAAGTGTCCCTTAGTATCAGAAACACTTGTGTTTATGTGTGTGTAGTTTGCTGGAAAAAATACAATTTTGACGGGAGTAAACGATTTGTATGGAAAGAAAAATGAATGAAAAAAGTGAATGAAGGTCCACAGCATGTGACTTTGAAAAAAAGCTGTTGTTTTACAAGTTTTCATTATCAAAAATGAGTTCCTGAAATAGTCAATTTTTCAACTTCTGTAGGGCCTTCTAAAAAAATGTTTCAAAAACTACTGTAAGCCATTAAAATGCATAATTAGCAAATATTCCATTGTCCGATGTTTAAGGTGAGGAAGTTACTGAACTCTGGAACTTTTTACTTCTCATGGTACTCAGGACCTCCAGGAAATATACCTCCCTTGGATCTGACTTTGTGTGCCCAAAGAAGAAATAAAACATCAACCACAGATCACAGATTTTTTTGGTATCTTTGCTGATTCATTTTCAAAGGAACCAATCATAGTATAAACAAATTTTAGGAATCGAATGTTACACGTTCATCTTGTGAGATTTGGAGTTGACTGTAGTAACTGGCTTGTCAGAGCCATGTGCGGCTCTGTCGAAATTCGAACAGTTTATGTTGGCCACAGGAAAGCCCTGGCGTCAGTTATATCTCGTTTAAGTTGTGAGAGAGCTGGAACTAGGTTATAGCACTATTTGAAGAGTAAAATATATCTAATTTGTTTGTTTCAGATTTAACGTTCGTGGTTCTAATGATGAGGGTCATGTAGCAAATTTTGTTGAAACTGAACAAGTGATATACTTAGAAAATGAAGTTTCATCATACATTCAAACGAGAGGTTCAGTTCCCTTATTCTGGGAACAACCAGGCGTTCAGGTATATACCATACGTTTCTTAGATTTGTTTTAGACGGAGTAGTATCCGTTTTTCAGCTTCATCCACTTCTGTCATTTTTCATATATTCATATAAAAATACCATTCTAAAAAATTCTTCAAGTTCTCCTTGAGTTCTCAGAAGCTAATGATATATTACACTTGGGTCGACGAAATAATTCACATGCATCATTAATAGAATATGTGATAAAACACATACTTTTATATAGCATTCTTTTCTTCTTCAAGTGAAAAAAGAAGACAAAATAGTTAATGTTGTGTTCAATCAGGGATACTTCTTGCTTGGATGATAGTTTGCAGTTTATACATCCAAGTGCAAATGTGAGTCGTCAGCAATTTCTTTGATCTCTGGATCAATTCATGGAGTAATACTTTTCTTTGATATAGGATAGAGATGTTTGATAGTCTAAATTGTTTACATGTTGTTCACTGGGAAGTTTCTATAGTTTCAGTTCTTCTATATTACACAAATAGTTGTTCTCACAACCAATAAACTGTGGGCATATTTCTCAGTAACTACATTTTTATATCAAAATTCAGTAAATGATTCAGTAAATCGACCAACACCCGTACGTTGACGAAATGCAAGATCCGCTGAAAACATTGCCACCGGCTGTGAGAGTGTGCAATAGAATCTGAGGCATTCGATTTCGTGTCACTCACAAGACCACAACTTGGCAAATTTTGCGTCGTGAGTTGGGCTGCACCTGTACAAAATTCAACTGGAGATAAACGACCACAGATAATAATGTGTGTTCGCTGAATGGGCTCTGAAGCAGTTGGCAACTGACCCTAATTTTAATTGGAAAATCATTTTCAGCAATGAGGCCCATTTCTAGATGAATGGGTAAGCGAACAAACAAAATTGTCGACTTTGGGATGATACCAATCCACATGAGATTCAAGAGCGTCCAATGCACTGGTGTGGATTTTGGGCTGGCGGCGTCATCGTCCATATTTCTTTGAGAATAACGTTGGCCAGGCCATCACTGTCAACGACTAGCATTATAGGTCGATGATTACCAACTTCATTTGGCTTGAATTGGATGATCTAGACACCAATGACATGTGGTGTCCCTACGTGCTATATTGGATATTCTACCCATGCCATCGGCCAAATTCAGCCTGATTAATGCGCCAGAGTCATGGAAAATTGGACATTTCGGAAGCGCCCGATCCAGAGAAATTGTGTCAGACATTTGAATGATGTTATATTCCATACATAATGGCATCAATAGGTCAACACAGAATTTAATACTATAAGTAATAATTAAAAAAAAAAAAGAAAAGAAAACTCAATATTGATATCATTTAGGAAGGAGCCGGTCACTAAAGTTATATTTCAAGTCATTAAGACACTTTCTGCTTTTCATCCTTCAATCTATCAATGTATATTTGGTGAAATTCAGCAAATATGGCAAATTCTATTTTCAATGGTATCCTTGATACTAAATGTTCACATTGTCATTTGATTGAATTCTAGGTTGGTTCCCACAAAGTACGGATTTCTAGAGGGTATGAGGCATCAAAATCAGCCTTCAATAGGCATATGACCACTATAAAGGAACGCTACGGAAAACAAGTGATAGTCAATTTACTGGGAACAAGTCTGATAGGGAGTAAGGAAGGGGAAGCTACTCTGAGCCAGGAATTTCAGGTGAGCAGTCAAAATAGTTTCAGATGTTTCTAAATTTCTATTCAGAAATTATACACCATGATTGAATTTTTTATTTATTTACCGTTAACGCCAAGTTGAAATTAATGAAACAAAAGAATTCATTTTGAAAAATTAAGAACTTGAAAATTAATATTTTAAATCTAGTCTTAAAAGATAAGTAGTATTGAGTGATACTAAAGTATTCTCAGTGATGATAATAAGTGTGATATAGACAACAAAACGAAATTTCTGTTCAACACTTGTAAAATAAAATTGTCGATATCAACTTTGTTTCCATTTCAAACAATTTAAGATGAGGAAGAATACTTTCCATAATTGCACCTGTTCAATTCAGTGATGAATGTCTGTTCATACATAGATACATATAAACCCTACCAGTGCTAAGCATTTGCAGACCAGTTTCAGTAGATGTTCTATGTCGCACTGCAAGTAAACAACAAGTGGCAACGCCCTTCGTGGTATTAGTCAGGGAAGTAGTTGTTTTCTGATAGATGTCAATCCATTAACCTAGTGTAGGGAGTTGAGACTGGCCTGAACGAATTGTTCCTTTAGATGATTTGACTCATAGCCAGTCTTCAAGTATGTGAAAAGTTTTCTTTCCTTATACGAGGAACTGGGCAAATTTCGGATATGCGGTTGGTTACCTCCTTCACAGGCAGATGGGGCCATGACAAGCCTGTTGTTTGTTGTCCGCTGTAGCCTAGTTCAAGGAATGATACTCTGAAAGAATTAGATTTTCAATTATCGGAAATCATCGACTTTATGTTGATGATAGACACTACCTTGCACTGACGAGTTGCCAAATAGCCCGAAATCGGTCTGTAAGTGTGTTCCAATAATTGAGAATTTATGGCGGCAGTTGTATCGCCAACAGCATATGCAGGAATAACTTCAGTGAGGAATCCTGCACTGACACCTGTCGGACACAATCCAACGCCTTTCGTGGTATTAGCCAGGGGAGTAGTTGTTATCTGATGGGTGTCAGTCTATTGATCTACATTGTAGGGAATTGAGACTGACTGGCCTGAACAAATTGTTTCTTTAGATGATTTGATTTATAGCCAGTCTTCAAGTATGCTCGCTGACTATGTGAAAAATTTTTATCAGTCAGAATTATAAATAAACTCCAGATGATATCTTTCATAACTGATTATGTGAAATATGAGAACATTCTGCCTACTTTCTGAATTGTTTAGAGATTAACAGTGATTAACAATTATCTCTCCATGATAATAATTAAACAATTTTTTATTTCTAGACGCGAATTGCTAACACCATTAGCTATAACGCTACCGAGGAAGCTACGGAATAGTACTACAATACAATTAGTATCCTGTAATTCAAATCTTCTTAGTTTTGGCTGTATTTCATGAAAAATATTTTATAATCCCACAAACTGTTTCTGGGTCCTTTGTTTTACGTATATAATTTTTGAAGACTTATTAGTCCTTTTTGACGTTTGTTTGAAGGTGGTTGACAATGTTTCGTGGTGTATTTCATCAGTTCGGACTTCCATTGTCTAATATAATATAAATTGATTTGAAATCCTTGAAAAAAATAAAAAGATTAACCGAAAATAACAATTTTATTAAAACAAAAAACTGAAATTACAAGGAAATAACATACAAGCTACAACCAGAATAAAAAATTGAAATATTAATAAAAGTTGAAAATTAAAAAAAAAAATTAACAAAAATGAAAAATAAAAATAAAAAATTAAAAGATTCCAAACCAAGTTACGTCACGACGTTTCGATTGTTAGTATCCACAATCGTCTTCGGGTGATAACTGGACTTATTCCTCCGAGATCTGACTATTTATAGATCATTCGGGTACTTTCACCTTTGACCTATCCCCTCTTTCCTCTCCGCTTCATTGGTAGAAGAAAGAGGGGATAGGTGAAAGGTGAAAGTACCCGAATGACCTATAAATAGTCGTATCTCGGAGGAATAAATCCACCAAATGCTTGAGGATCAGAAGCAGAGTCTGAATCAGGAGAGGAAACAATCTTTTTTTGATCCCGTCAGAATACGCTTCCGCTCAAACGATGATTCACGAAAACCAGAGGCGAAAAAGCCTTGTAAGGCTGAATCTAAAGTATCATCATGTACAGCTGACGTACAGATGCCCTTATATGGGAAGGTTGCTGTGGTCATTAAAATGGAAATCTTGCAGCTTGAACTTCTAACCTCAATATCGACCAATCTACTGGTCCAGAAGATAGTACACAGAGCTGAACATTCTGGCCTGAATAATTACAGGCTAATTTGTGTGATTGATGACTTGTTTATTTTGTGGAAATTCATGATCACTTTAATGAAATGAACAAAAAACTTTTGTCTAATTTCCACTAGTTATTTTATTTTTACAAAATAACTAGTGGAAATTACACAAAAGTGTTTTTATCCATTTTATTAAAGTAATTACAGGCTACCTGTGAGGATCAGGCGAGCATCTCTGACCGGTACGTGAATATAGTTTATACCTTGCAGCCATGGGAGGCTGTCTCCCTGAAATGGCACGCGAAAGACCTACTTTCCACCGATCAGGTCCCCACTAGAGCACAGCAGGGCACATAATTTATAACTAGTGGAGTGGAGTGGAGTGGTCCCACTCTTGCCAGCTGACCAAATAAAGTAATCGGTTTCATGAGCAACCTGATTTGTTTGGTCAAGTGAGTGACAGTGCAGTGATGGTCGAAAGACACACTTACTTCAGACCTATCTACTTACCTAGGTAGTTACTCCATTTGTTTGATGTAATATTTACTTCATTGTGCACTTGGTGGTTATGTTCATTCATGGCAAATATGGCCAATGTTTTACAGAAAAATGAAAAATACTGAATTATCCGGAGATACTTTAGAAGAATCAATTTCTTGGATTGAACATGGAAGGCAGTTGAAATCGCTTTAATTTTGTCTAGCGTCTGGATTCGCCAGTCACCGTCTGGCACATTCAGTGTCAAATATTCTTTCATGCTTATCCGAATATTGGCAATTCGCAAATTAACTACCGCATTCAGCTCTCTTGCAATATAAACCACAATAACTCTCTTATCATAGTTGTTTTGTATTTTGTTTACAATAAAGAACACATTGAATGAAAACGAACGATTTGCAGCCGACTCGTCAACAATTAGCAGGACAAATGATTTGGTTTCATTACATTGGCGATACTTTTATTACATGGTGCCACTGGAAACAAGCACTAGAACAGTTTCCACGCCTCGCATCCAATTTACCATGGAAACTGAAGATGAAAGAAAAATATCATTTCTGGTTAACAGAAAAACGCTCAAATCACCAATCGTGACTCCAGGATTCCTGAGCCACATCTTTTTGAAGAAGAACCTTGTCATCTAGACCAAGCTGTACAGGTCAATGTGTTTACACCAGAAGAAATCAAATGTGCTCTACATCCTAGAAGAAAAACTGTAACTTTGATTACGATCTAGCCGATACTGATAGGCAAAGAAAATGTTTAAATATCACAAAAGTAAGACCATTTACCAGTCAACTAATCAAATACGCAATACGAACAGATTGGCTAGAGACAAAAGAGAGCCTCTGGCATCCGATGGTTTTTACATAATTTCCTGTTCTTGTAGTTCAGATTACATAGGAATCACCAAATCCAGGATACAAGAACACAAGCGTAGCTGCCGCCTTGTCCTATAGGAGAAATCTGCAATTAAAGAACATGTCCTAGCACTAAATCTTCTGTTACTTTTTCCTCAATAGTTTCTAGAGATGATAGAGATGTTATTTTAAAAAGTTGAAATTATTTATTCTAGCTATCCATTTCTAAAGCCAGTGTAAATAAAAGAGCGAAATTTGGACAAGCATAGCTGTACTTTTAATGGGGCTTCAGAATTATATTTTCTGTGATTCCATGATTTATTAGAACCGGCGAACATTTTTCGGTATTGAAAGATTTGGCGCGACTACTGAAAAAATTATTGTGCAACAATATTTGTCGATCAAATTATAATCCATTGGTGAATAATGGTATATATTTGCAGAAACACCATAAAGAATCAGCTCATAGTGATATACCACACATAGTTTTTGACTATCATCAAGAATGTCGTGGGGGAAATCAGACAAATTTGCAAAAACTGAAATCCAGGTTGGATCCCCAAATTCAAGAATTTTCTTATTACCATGCTAATGGTACAACAATATACAGGTATGTTCGATATTGATAGAACTAATGGGATATGACGTGGTGTAAAACAATTTTCTTTTGAAAAGTGACGAGAAAATATATTTGTGGTAGAGGTTCTGAATTCCTCTGTGTAAAGGCATAATATATGAAACCAAAAAACTAGAGATATTAAAAAAAATCATATTTCTTAAAACTCAAACTTGTTTTATTTAGTTTGCAAACAGGAACTATTCGTACCAACTGCTTGGATTGTTTGGACAGAACGAATTGTGTGCAGACTTTTCTCGGATTAGAGGTATTACAATTACGTTTGCAATTCATTTCGTACTTTCAACAGACAATTTTTGCAGACCCTCGGTAAACAATTGGTGTCCATGCAGTTAGTTGACAAAAAAACAACAATATCTAGGTTCGAGGAGGTGTTTAAACAAATGTGGATAAACAACGGGAATGAAATTAGTAAAATTTATGCTGGTACCGGAGCAATACAGGGTGGATCCAAGGTGAGAAAAAGATGAATGTTGAAAAATGATCGAAAAGTAAAAAATATATTCAATTTCAGTTGATGGATGGCGCACGATCGGCAGCTAGAACGATACAAAATAATTTATTAGATAATTCAAAACAGGAAGCTATTGATATTCTTCTTGTCGGATCCACATTGTCTACAGAATTAGCAGATAGGGCCAGAACTCTTCTTCCATATAACACACTCCATGGTAATTAAAAGAAACATTTTTATCAGTTTACTATTAAAACAATCAAATATAAATAACTTATGAATTACTTAATTTTCATTGAAGTTAATTGTAAGAATTAAAAAAAAAAACAGATTTTGTTTCTAAATACTTCATAGAAAACATTACCATAAGTAACTCAAAATGTCTTAAAAATTTAGAATAATCCTTTATTTTATTTTCAGCCCCCAATCATGTTCTTCGTGAAATGTGTAAGCGTTATACAGAATATACAGATGCGCTTCCTATTAGAGTCTCGGTTGGTACTTACAATGTCAATGGTGGAAAACACTTCCGCAGCGTAGTCTTCAAAGAGATCCAGCTTTCAGACTGGCTGTTGGATGCTCACACAAAAAATCAGGGAAGCCTAGTGGATATCGGATATACTGATGCTTACAAATCCATACCTGTGGATATATTTGCTATTGGATTTGAAGAAATAGTAGATTTGAATGCCGCGAATATTGTCAATTCTAGCACAGAAAATGCAAAATCATGGGCGGTTGAACTGCAGAAAGTTTTATCTCGAGATAGACCTTATGTTCTGCTCACATACCAACAATTAGTTGGGGTGTGCTTGTATATTTTCGTTAGACCTGAACATGTTCCTTTCATCAGAGATCTTGCTTTCGATTCTGTCAAAACTGGATTAGGAGGACATACAGGAAATAAAGGTATGTATGTTACACAGATAGTTGATTCCGATTTTAAAACACTAAAATTATACTCTTTTTCAAATAAAGATCATGTTATATATTGGGTAACTTAGTGGACTGTTTTAATAGGTCTTTGAAAATTATCGAGTAGTTCGTTCTGTTCAGTGGTGCTAATGAATGAGAATTAACTAACAATAATAATGATATCAAAGAGAGAAAATTTAACGTGTCTGTGATTTCCTTACCTTGATTTTGGTCACAACGGCACTTGAGGAATCGGTGAATAGAGAGAGAGAGAGAGAGATAAGAAACTGCACTTTTCCAGTACAACTGCAGTTTTCTCGAGCACTTTCGGTTCTTTCTCCGGAATCGAACCTTTTGTCTATATGTTCTTCCTCTCGCGGCAGACAGAAAACCACAGTCTTCTCGCGATAAGAATATAAACAAAANTTACAACATCGACTGTATTGAATAATTGAGAAAAGGTAGATTTTGCTGCATAATAATGCTTGTAAAATCCTCTGGATAGAACTTTAAATTCCTCATTGTCATATTCATCCACTGAAATGAGGAGTGGCAAAAGAACTGCATTATGCTTTTCAAAGTCTTGATAAATATTTTCTAAGTGCGAACACATTGATTTAAATAGAGAATGAAGATCCACAGACGTTTTGGCAGCTTCTGCTATTTCAGCAATATCGCTCATACGGTCTATACAAATTTGTTGAAGAGCCCGACATTGTTTTATTTTATTCGCGTTAGCCGTCATCTTGAACTACCACTGAATTGCTAAATAACAAGCTTCAAAATAGCTTGATAAATAATCGTACCGAACAAAATTATTCGATCACACCTCGTATATTGAGAATCAATATCTCACCTCTAGCAAAAACTCCAAGTATTAAATATTTTTCAAAAAAAAAAAAAAGTGAAGATCGGATGTGAAATTAAAAAACAAAACGATAGAGAGGTATTCAACATAACGTTCACTTCTTGGGTTTTTTGCCAACAGGAGAAAATTAAATGTATTTGTCTGAGAACTAAAGAGTCTGAACAAAACGAACAAACGAAAATTTTTAAGAATTCACAATATCCGGCTCGTATGGACCATGTTATATATTGGGTAACTTNAATCGCAATATTCCCCAATCTAAAAGTGTTGAGTTTTTACTATTGATCATAGATTGAGCTGGTCTGATCATATCAAAGCAGCAAACTTTCTACTGTTTTGTTCGTTTTGAGGCGACTGAATGATGTGGTCACCTTGACACTGAAAAGAGCCTACTACGGATTATTTCACTCACTTATTTCTTATAGTATTCTCATTTGGTGTCATTCAAGTAACTCAATAAGTTTGTTTAGGTGCCAGAAAAAGGCCATAAGAATTCTAGGTAAAGCAAGTTACAAAAATCATTGTCGTAATATTTGTATTCAACTCAGCATTATGCCACTTCAGACACTCTTATGTCTATAAAGTGTTACTGGAGATCCATTTGAATGACATGTTGACAATCATGCATATGAAACGAGGTCCGCAAGTGTATTGAACCTGCCTAGACATAAGCTATCAGTCAAAGAAATTCACTGAACTTAAATCTTTATAATCTTCATTCATCTGTGAAGTCACTCAACCTCACTAAATTTAAATTTATTATCAAAAGCTTTCTCCTCCAACACTGTTTCTATAATATAGAGGAATATATTGAAGTGGCGAGATCTTTAACTTACGAAAGGCCTCATCAAATCAACTTACCAACATTTTGATTTTAGCGACATATTCAAAAGATTTTACATTTATGATTTTATTTAAACTTATATTCTTTACTTATATTTCATAGTAGATAAATTTTTATCTCTGATAAACGATTTCTGTATTTGTAACTTGCCATAAATGTACTTCAGTATGTAAAACAGTTGAATAAAATAAACTCAATAGTTTTGAAATAGATATGTTCCTTTGCCCTTTAGAGTCCGAGGGACTCCAAATAATATTGCATTAGACCTGTTTCTTCTCAATATATTTCAATTGTTTTCCTTATATTGGTGATTACTAATTTCCTTATTGATGATAAAAATTTCCCAATATAAATTAGAATTTCCACCGTCAATTGACAAAAGTAGTCAACATTCATATAAATAACTAATTATTGAGTTACATATACTTACCTATCACTGTTTAATATGCGTCTCGTATTTACTAAGTTTATTTTTCTTCATTGAAGGAGCTGCTGCTATAAGGTTTGTGTTCTACGCAACATCTATTGCTTTTGTTTGTGCCCATTTTGCCGCAGGACAGTCTCAAGTAACTGAAAGGAATGCTGATTACAATGAAATAACTAGAAAAATTACATTCCCTATGAGCCGCTCCCTGAATTCACATGAATATTTGTTTTGGTGTGGAGATTTCAATTATCGTATAGACATGGATAAAGAAGAACTGCGAGAACTAATTAAACAAAGCGATTTTGATGCTATACTTCAGCACGATCAGTTGAAAAAGCAACAGGAAGCAGGTAACGTTTTCAAGAGTTTCAACGAAGGTGACATTAATTTTGCACCAACATATAAATACGATCTATTTAGTGATGATTATGATACAAGTGAGAAAAGCCGAGCTCCTGCCTGGACTGACAGGGTGCTGTGGAAAAGACGAAATCAGTCCCCAGATATAAATGGCACTTCACAAGAATCTCCTGATAAACTTGTTTATTACGGAAGAGCTGAATTGAAACAGAGTGATCATAGACCTGTCATTGCAATCATAGATATTGAAGCAAGGAAGATCAATGAAGACAAAAGACAGCAAGTTTTTTATGAAGTGATTGCAGATATGGGGCCCCCCGATGCTACAATAATAGTACATTGTGAGGATGCTCCGCAAAATGAAGACTCAAGTGTTTTCGACGATAATTTGGTGATGACCCTCCTGGAAGATTTTGCTCAGTTCGGTGAAACAATTTTAGTTAGGTTTGTTGCTGATACCATGTGGATTACATTCAGAGATGGGCAAGCAGTTCTGGAGGCAATGAAGAAAACAGCAGGAAAATTACAGGTATTCTGAAATAATTTTCAATACACTAGTGATTTCAGTATCGTGTGTATTCATTTATCCAAAAATTCTTTGAACCTTTAGCAAGAGATTCACTCGAAACTGTTTCCTAGCTAATCTTGCTGTCTTTTCTGTTTCTTTCAGAGCTTCAAGTATAAATTCATAAATATGAACTGACTCCTTATCACAATAAAAATTACTAAAGTGCAAAAGATTTCTTTACTGGCCTAGTTATAGAACCATCATGGATTTTGTAAATATGAATATTAATATGGAAATAATCATAATGACCACATTATAATTATACATTGAAACAAGCTGGTTCCAAATTTTGAAGATTACCACTTGATTTATTGTCAGAAGCCTCTAAATGAAGTTGGACCAAAGGAAAGCGGCATTCACAGTGTGCGTCACTGAACACAACTAACCACAAATTCGTTCAACAGGCATTAGGGGCGTTACTAGTATAAATACTTGGAGGTTACCTAGTAGAACCACTAAGACTGAATTGTTGAAATGGTGATTACAAGAGGTGACCACTAGTACTGAAAGGGTTGAAAATAAGAATATATTCATTTGCTCCAATTGATTCATCATAAATTTTAGAAGTGAACATGACAACCTCCCTTTCATAAATGTTATTGAAATGTTCTAATTGTGATCTTATAACATATTTTCCATTTCAGATTCAAGACTACAATCTTACTCTTTCTCTGAAAACTCCAAACTGGGTTGACCAAGCTAAAGAGGAAATAGGATTATGCTCAAGTAATACAATTCCTCTGTATATTTCTCCAAGTCAGTCTAATTTCAACTGTAAGTAATCAGTTGTATTAATAATTATCCATACATAAACCACTAGGCTCTGGAAAAAACTACTATTTTTGCAAACATTTCGAATTATATTTAATTCAGCCTCAGGGATCTATGAATAAATTTCATTCTCAATTACTGAGGTTTCAAGTATGTGCCTTCAACTATATATTTTCACTTTCAACAATGATTTTGCCTTGCTTTTTCAAAAACAAATGCTGACTTATGTGGAGTTATGGTGAATTATCCAAAAAGCAATAATTTTCGTATATAGACCTTGCAGAAATGAAAACTAATATTTATTGAACAATTCTGTGAAGTATCAAACTGTGTATTAGGAATCCATAGAAACATAATTGTGACCTAGGATTTTAATATAAAATTGAAATGAGGTTATATTCATTCTTAAATATGGTGAAAATGAATAAAATAATATTTCATAGAAACTAATGTCACACTGAATATTCTGAAAATACATCCTTCAAATGAATGGCAATGAATGTATGTCTGCCTGTTGTGGCTATTTCACTCATTACTATTTTTACAAGTACATTTTCGTATGTCCATCCCGTCCCATACTTAAAAAAAAAGAATAATGTTTTCTACTGAGTGATATATATTTTTAGGTTTGGGAATTCCCGAAGTGGCCAAAATGCCTAGAAATATTCCTCCAAGTAGACCTCCACCTCCTGCTGTAAAGTCTTCTTCTGTGTATTTAAAGAGAGTACCCCCAAAGGCTGGTATAATAAGTATGCCAGTGAAAACTCTTCTAAGTTCAGCTCCTCCAGCTATGCCTCCTCCAGACTTACCTCAGCAAATGTCTCAGGATGAAGGAGTTTATGAAGAAATCAATGATGATGTGATAAGTGCTCCTGAACCACAAGGTCCTCCTCCTCCACCTCCCAGGTCGGAGACTGCTGTAACCCTTCCTCAAAGAGGTCCTCCACCAGTACCCGCTAGATCAGCACCTCCTCCTCCTTTGCCTGCTAGGCCAAGGCAATAAGTGTTACGAGAATAGAGAAACTAGTTAATGATTTTTTTCTTGTCGCTTATTGGAGGAATAAAAATTAGATCTTCTATAGATAACATAAACAAGAGAAGAATTCACCTTAACTTATTTATTGAAATTTATTTAAAATGCTCACTTGTTCTGGAACACTTGTTGAGCAAAAAGTTGATGATTCATTGATAATTAATTAATTATTTCTCCACCGAGCCTTGATTGTTGTTCATTTTCTTTGAAAATCTTTTTTGTGGAGTAGTCAATGTTGGTGACTGTTTTTTAAATACATAATCTTCCACATTCTGAAAAATAAATAAAGCTGTTTGCAATCGGGGCATTGTTCACGGGTGAATTTTTGGGTTTCGAAAAAGGAAAATGCTAGGTAAGGAAATTCAATTTTTTCAATTGAGTTTTCAATTTGTAGGCAAAATGTATGAATATGACAAGTTACTGACTAATTGGACTCTTCAGTTTTTTATATTACACAGTAACTTTTTGGCGTGAACTTTTCAATTTGACCTTTGTTACACTTTAGCTATTTCCCTATTGATTTAGCGTTGTTCAATTTTTAGATTGTGGAAGATTTTACACCGAAAAACCAGTAAGAAACAATATTGTCCAATCTTGGGAGTATTACACTAGTTTTGGATTATCATGTTCACAATTTGAATGATTTCAACATTGCTGAACAATTTAAATTTGGGTTGAGTTGGACGTTTTTCTACTTTGCACAAAATAGGATCAAATCAGGTTTAATAACTGTATTTGACTGAAAAACGTTTGATGTTGTATTCCTCAAATAAGAAAAGAAAGCTGTGTATTCTATGCACTGTTAGTTTTTATTTCTTGCCTTCATGACTGTTTACTCATAAATATTCTAAAAACTCTGGTACCATTCAATGATGCACAGTTTGTTATGGAAAAATCATTATATCCATTAATAGATTGATGGATGTAGCCGTTACTATGTGGTAGGAAATCATCATGAAAAATGAGAATTGAAACTTCATGCTCATAAGTTCCTTAATGCATACAAAGTAATGTACCAGTGTTTTTGCATATTATGACATACCTGATATATTTTTGTCAAACTGTCTAGCTTTGCCTATTTATGGTTTATTTAACTATTTATTTAATCTTGAACAAATTGAACTCATCACCTAGAGAAAGGATACCAACAAAATACCAACATTACGAATAGTGGTGATGTTCAAATTGTTTAAGGGAATTAATTGTGATTATTTTAACTGAAACAGAGTCAACATCTGAAAGATTTCCAATAACAAGTTGATTCATTCAATCCTGAAACTATCCAAAGTTTTAAAATCAAATCTATTGATTCTCATTGAGTAGTGGATATGGATGTCATGCATGTCA